TGATCTGTTCCGGATGGTAGTTCTTTATGCGTCACACTGCGTCAGCCGAGGGTAGCGTTGAGGGTTTAATGGGGACAGGGAGCGTTATACGTTAGTCATCTCCAGCGAAGAGGTCGCACTTGGTTGCTGGAGAGAGTAGTTATATTTGCCTCTGAGAAAAAATGTTCTAAGTTTTGTAGTTTTGTTGCCTTTTCTCGTTTTTTTTTCTCGTGTTTCAGTGTATAACGTGCTATCCCCCTCCCCCTCGCCGGCTCAGTGATCAGAAGAGAACATTCCCGGAAAAGTGATAGGAAGTTAAGGAAATTTAAGACGGTAGGTAGCGTGGGTGAGGGGGAGTCGTACCAGAGGAAGAAAGTTTGTGGAGGGTCGCACAAATTTTCGCCCAACGACAGGAGCTGCTCTGAATGGGGAAGGGAGGGTGGCTCGCACATCAACATTTTGAAGAATGTAGCCCTACAAAATCTAGTGAAACCAATCTTTCTTGCCTTTTGGTCTATGAAGACAAAGAGTGAGAATAGCCCAGCAAGGAGGTGAGATAATTGTTTTCCCCGGCCCGCTAGGGAGGATTAGTTCTTACATGGCCTCTTCTAGCCGTTCACCCACCTTCCATTTCGGATCAGCAAGCGAACAAGGAAAGTGCAAAGCAATAAATCATTCATTCACAGCCCGTTGAACGTCCGCCAAACGTACGATGTTTACGCGCTGCACCCCCAAGGTTATTTTCCCCCCGATTTGTTCTACTGCTATGAGCCGGGACTATTGGGAGGCCTAGGGAGCAGAGCCATAAGTTTCGAGGCCGACACGTACTGAGAGAATGCCTAGAAGACTAAGAAACGGATATGCTGGGCTTGAGAGGAAGGGATAGTTCTACGGAAACATTGCCATTATATGACCCGTTCTGAACTGTTCAATTTTTAGATACTATGACAACTGTAGACAGTTCCTAACGTTGTCATGGAAATCGCTTGACTGGAGTTGTCACTTGGAAGCGTCACGGCATTTGCATTTAATAATATGTTGTGAGAATGAAACCACTCACTTCAGCTGGCTAGAAATCGATTCACACTGCAGACATCTGTTTTTCTCGTGCTGGAGAGCATCCGTCATTTCTTGGAAAGTTCGAAATAGTGTTTATACTTTCCCAGGTGTCCAGTAAATGTAGTGGTCCCACAAAAAAGTGATACTGCAACCGATGTTTGTGTTGAAGTAACCAAACTTTCGATCTAGGAGATTCAGCACCGGATCGCCGAGTCTTCCAAATCGCTGGCGACCTACGCCGATCGATATCCATCCACTGTTTTGGCGCTTGATCTCCAGAAACATCGAGTTACCCAAAACGCCGATTACCGATTCTCCCTAATCGCCAGACTTATGCCGCTACTTTCCTCATGGCGTAATCTCTCGAATTGCCGTGTCTCCCAAATGGCCGTTTCCCATATTGTCATATCTCCTCGGCCAGTCGCGAAGTATGTACGCGGCCTCATGTGTACATGCAAATGGCTCCAGGGCACATCATTGGTTGGGGATTTTGGTCGAGTCCGTACGACCCCCACCCCTTTTTTTTTTCTGGGGGGGGGGAGGGTGCGCGACCTATGGGACTCGCGCCCCCTCCGGCGCTCTGTGGCCTCCTCATCGAATCGTAGCGTCGAGCGGGGGGGGGTATATATATAGTATGCATGAAACAGGAAAATCACGAAAAGTCGCCACCACTCCCACCACTCCTAGAAAGGCCAGAAAGTAAATACGACCCCGCTCCCCCTCCCCTCCTCAACAATGAGCAAGTACGATCCCCCCTCCTTTACAATGTCCGTGAAGCTAGAAAAATCAACTATCAAAATAAATTTTTCTCCGCGCCATGCGACCCCGCCTCTCCTGGCGGCCAAATACGACCAAATCCCCCCACCCTGTTGGGGATTCCCCTACAACGATGTGCCCTGAACGACTCAAAAAGCTGTGCACGTTGTTTGCGGCTAATGAAAATGACAAGACGTAATTTTCGTTCGTTCTCTTTCCTTATCGTATCTTTCGTTCTATCTTTTTTTCTTTCTTTCTTTCTCCAAGAGTGGAACTACGAATGGATCTTATCTTTCTTTGCTTTTTATCTCTCTCTCTCTCATGGCGTGCCTCAGTAGATCCCAAGCCGCATCGTCAGCCATGCCCGTTCAGGTTGTCACTATTACGCGCGTGTCGGGACCTCTCCTCACCAGCTAAATACAGAACGAGTCATCTGTCCATCAACTCGTAATATTGATGGACACATGGCAATATTAACAATGTTAAACACGCCACCTTTAACAAGTTCTGTACTCTCGCGGATCTTGCGAAAAATATTGGCGCGACATCGCAGCTTGCTGAATTTGAGCTATGCAAAGCGGACACTGGCCCCTCTGATAGTTGTGATTACACCACTTGCGCGCCACCGCGCGCTACCGTATCCTACGCCTAAAAATAAATATTTTTCAAGGCTCTAATCAATCATTTCTTTCCTGTTCGTGATTTGTTTTCATTTCTAAACCGTAACAATGATCTCGAGTGTAATGATAGACAATGCAAGGGAAATGAAGGAAACCACTCAGACAGTTGAGGTATCAAGGCATCCAAAATCTCGAGATGACTTGAACATTCGTGAAACCCTTAAGGAGGTTAAAGTCTTTTTACAGCAGCTCTGTTGTTATGAAACAAAGGTCGGTCCCATTGTCTCATACGAAGCCATAACTAGAGGCTCTGCGATGTTCCACCGACAGGGAAGCACGTCGCACGCAGACTCAGCACAGAGGTGCTGTTTCGCAGTAGAGCGGGAGCCAATTGAACAGAGGTGCTGTTTCGCAGTAGAGTGGGAGCAAATGAGTTTTGCCCAGGCACTCACAGCTGCTCTCGAGACCCTTCCATTCCGACGAATTCATCATGACCCTGGAAGAGGACACGTGGGGAGTAGCGTTTAATTCGCAGCAGCAGATCCCATGAGCAGAAAACAAGCTAGCTATATATGTTTGCAAGCTTATAAGCTTTCCCTCTCTTTCGATGTGTGCTTGTATGTTCAGTAGCTCTTACCCGTTCCTACTTGACTTCATGTAATCATTTTTCCTTCGTCTGAAGACAAGTGACATCATAAATCCCCTAGATGTGCAAGATGAACACGCCTAGTAGGATAGAGTTGTACTCCGGATTTCGCCTTTTCGACAGAGGGTACACTACCCACCTACCGCGCCTCCCCGCCCACAATGCTCACAGCAGTTCAACTTCAACGTACGACATAAAGCGAACGGATTGATATGAACCAGCTTCCAGTGCTGAAGATCTACCAAAGACGATTTCTCCGAACGAATTCCAAATAGCAGACTTGTCCAAAATTGCTTTGTGAGACGTGTAGAACGAAGATGTTTCACTTCACTTTTGCGCTATTTTCCTGCTGTTTAACTTTTTTGCTACCGCTTGACTACCAATATATTCTGCCTTGTGTTTATTACTCGAGCGTCCTCTTTAATATACAAAAGTGAAACCTTTATTTATCCACTGGGAGTTAGCAGTTAAGCACGACAACCCAATATCAAACTTTACAGGCTGAAAAATCTCATGAGCGAGAGCCAACATAAATCAAGAATCGGTTTTCATAGACAACAGGAACATTGATGGTTAAATTCAACGTCTTCGTAACCGTCGACTTGCTTACCAACGGACAGCGATTTGATGAACAACATCTAAAAAAAGATAAATAAAAACACATAACAAATATTAATCTTGAAAGTTAACTTTGCCTCAACACATCATTGGGGCGGAGCAGCACTTGACAGCAGATGGGAAAAAACCCGCTGTCGACGACATGACCAAAAGAACTGAAAAGGAAAAATGAATTAAGAGTCAATATTTATTTCATATTCCGCAACTAACGTTGTTAATCTTTATCTGCAATCGCCAACAACAATAATAAAAGAAAACAAGTAAATCCATAGTTTATCAAAATCCTACAAGTGGAAAGATTAAGGAAGAGCCAAGCTTTCGAAACGGGTCACCTTCTTGCTTCTTCTACAGGGGTGGGCGCGGATGTTGAGTTTTCTGTGTGTGCCACTACATGACCAAGAGTACGTCGTGCGCCTGAACGGAACTAAATATAAACTAGTCCGGGCAATAGAAGTGACTAGGGGAAGCAGGGAGACCACTTACCTGCACGTGGCGGAACAGACATTCGTTACGGTCCGGTTCGGTGGAGTTCATTTCGAGAATAGCACTGTGGGATGTCACATTCCCAACATGTGCCACTCTGTCGCTAAACATACGAGCACCTGAACAAAGAAATTCACAAATTCACAACTTGGAGAAGAAAATGATTGGGCTAAGAAGAAAGGCTCACCTGCAAATGATGGGAGTGACTTTTCGGTGCATCCAACTAGGACAGAACCTATGTGAGCGGAATTCCCTGGAGAGTGCGAACTCATAATGAGAACAATTGTTCCACTTCAACGTCCCAACCTACGAGCTGCAATGAAAAAGTGAAAATGCTGCTCCCAACAGCAAACTAAACAGAGCGCAATGAGGCAGAACAAAGAAAAATGAGAAAATCACGAATAGGAACGAGAAAATGAAAAAAAATCACGAATAGGGAAGAGAAAAATGAAAACAAATCACGAAAAGGAAAAAAAAAATGATTGATTAGAGCCCTGGAAAATATTTATTTTTAGGCGTGGGATACGGTAGCGCGCAGTAGCGCGCAAGTGGTGTAATCACAACTATCAGAGGGGCCAGTGTCCGCTTTGCATAGCTCGCTGAATTTATGGGTGCTCGCTTCTTCTTCCACAGTTCATCTACACGAAGAGCTTCGACATTATCATGGGGAAATGTAAGCTTCTTCACTCAATGCACTAATAATTTTGTTAGTTTTAAAAATGCATGGAATTTTTCCGTTCTTTCTTACTTTTAGTTTTCCTTTTCATTTTTCTTTCTTATTTCCAGTCTTTTGTTTTGCGTTTTTAATTTTAATCAGCAACTTTCTGAAGCTTTGCCAAGATAGATTCCGCAAAAATAGTACCATTGTTGAAGAATATGAGAGCGGTTCATCACTTTCGGTGGACCTTCCTGGAAAAAGAGTTTGGGTAGTTTATAAGTTCTGATTTTTAGATGGTATCCAGTAGGTGGTGGGGGAGTGCAGTAGAGAATGTGAGTCGGGGTGAGGGTAATGAGTGCATCACCCATGCCCAGAATGAAAGTTTTCAAGTTGACGAACCAGTTTTCCGACAAAAGGGGTCGCAATTATTCCAGTGATTCGTTTAAAAGCCCTACTTTTGAATTGGCTCCACAAATTGCTCTCTTATCAGTTATAAAGAATTTCTTCATTGTGAACCATAAGTCAGCGTTATGAGTCGACAGGGATGCTTGTAAAGACGCTGACCGCTCGCAGCCGCACGCTTGTTTTCTGCATACTGTGAACAGTCTCCATTTTTGGCAACTATTTATGTAAGTCTCGATGGAGTAACACCTGCATTGCTTTGTATTGCGTTTAGCTGATTGTGGTTTTGTGGTTTCCCTCACAATATTCCTGTTCCTAAGATGTTGAGTCTATGAAGGATGCCCAGGTTAAGCGCTAACACATTTAGTTCTTCTTACGGGTTCTGCGATCCTCCATTCCTCGATTTCTCGATCAGTACGTATTTCAGGCTGCGTTCATATTTTGCGTCAGTGTTTCGAGCGTACGCCAGCTTTTTTAGCACTGCCCGCGAAAACGCTGAAACGCCGGCGTCCGCTAGAACGCTAGTTCGATATCTGTACTTCCCTAGTCGCTCAAGACGTTAACGCAAAATGTGAATATAGTCTTATTGTTTCCATGGAATCCTGCAGATTCCAAGCTCTTG